CCACTACTATGAAAAAGAAATTTAACAACGGTTGAAAAAGATATATAATCACGTATATGTCCAAGCATTGTTATGTAGAGTGTTATTGTAAATACATTACTTACAATCACAGTCCTAGGACTGTTGTAGTCTACTGGAAAGCACGCGCAATATCACAACAGTTAGTTGTTATAACCGTTGTCAAAATTTCTGCTATTTTTAAAAAAAGGAATTCTCTTCTTTTAATTTTTTCCCCATATTTTAACCTATACCTATTTAAACCATATCAAAGAATTAAAAGCAACCTGTATTTTTGTTAACCATGCATAAAGAGCATAAAAAATAACCTATATTTTGCATCAAAATCCAAAAGTAATATTTACATCAAACACAAAATATGTTATTTCTCAATCGTATCATACCAGAATCAACAATACACCGATTTGTTAATTTGAATATCAAAACTTGTATACATAAATGACACAATTCCATTATGTACACATTATTACATCAAACTATTATTAAGAAAGAATAACAAAGAAGGGAAAAAGAAATTTGAAAAGACAAAGAGATTAATTATTTAAGAGCTCGAGATAGGCAACCATAAGATCTTTCTAAATTCCAAGTGAAGAAAACGTATAGAATTAAAGAACCAATAATGAGAAAACTTGACACACTTGAATTTTTTTGGCTTTTAGACTTCAAATGATAAGAGAAGAGGAAGAATTAGAAGAAACAATATAAAAGCATAATTCCTCTTTTAACCAAAACACAAAAAGAACTTCATCCAAAGAAATCAGAGAAGAAGATGAATTAAAATCAAGAAGCTAATGTGGCTGTAGAGCTTGCTCTTATGCAAAACCCTCCTCAGAATCAAGAAGTGGAAAGAAGTCGCGCTTGTGCAACTGAACTTTTGAAACCCATGAGAGCTCCCAGGAAGAAGAGATCAAGAAGAAGAAGAAGAAGGAGAAGAGTGAAAAGGTCAATCATCATCCATTCTGATGATTAGGATGAAACAAATTATACTTGGTCAAAATTTCTCTCAGAGCCAGAGAATTTAAATATGAATATTAAGGAATTTTTTTTATTTAATGAAAAGTTATATAAGTGTTTCTTAAGTTTTTTTTGAATTTTTGTCAGCTTAATTCTTAGTATGACGTACACTCTAGAACTTTCTCATAAACAAAATCTGAATAAAACCAAAATGATTCATAAGAACAAAATTTAGGGCTTTCTAATTTACACTAATATACCCTAATTATTCACAAAATCACATTAATGATTCACACAAAACGATTCACAAAATCTAAGGCTTTCTAATATACACTAATATATCAGCTTTCATCCTATGGTTATGAACGAGCTAACCCTAAACATGAAAAATGAACATTAACAGATGCGGTAACCCTAAGCATTCATAAGAGTCAGAGAAAGAGAATGATGACTTACCATAAATCATATTCAAAGAGGATGATGAAGATTTCGCTATCCCTGTCGTCTCGTTCGCTAGGGAACTCTTGCGTGTTATGAACAAAATAAAGTACATGCTATCTTTTTGTTTTGTGAGAAACAATTTCACAATGATTGTAAAGTTTAACTGTAGTGAGAAATAATTTAACAAAATATATCACAACGGTTCTACAAAAAAACCGTAGTAGTATCCCTTTTATTTTTATTTAAAAATAAATAAAAAATAAAAGACACACCTTAACGTTAAAGGAATAAAATATTTGAGGGTGCTGAGGTTCGAACCCATGAATGTTTGGTTGTATTAAAAAATATAAAAAATGTTAGCGCATGAGTTTAGAGAAATCACCACAGTGTTTGAAAGAACCATGGTGACTTGGGTGTTGTTGTATGCACATTTTGTAGTAGTGAGCAAGATCCCAAAGAATATATTGTATGTACCTAAACTAACGCGTGACGCGCTCAGGAAGATATGCAGCTATCTTGCGCGACCCTCAAGCCAACCATCCAGAGTATAACACAACATTATCAAATGGAATCGTCACATAGTGGTCGACGTATGCTTGGAAGTGTATATCATCAAACACTAACCGATCGATATACACCTGAAACAACTCTATCTCATGGTTCCGTTGGAGCGGGTGGAATGTAGCGAAACACATCTTTTCTTCAGTATATGCAGTATCAAGTGACCAATCAGATATACGAGGGAAATACTATAGGATCCAGGCTTGAAAAAACATGAATCATTAGTTAGTAACGACATCGAAATAATTTACAAAATGACACACATACAATATAATACAAAGAAATGTTACTACCGGGAGTGTGATGCTACCGATCATCTGCTTCATCTTCCACTTACAGCCTTCAGACAACTTATGGTACAAGTACACCAAACAAGCATCCCCTCAGTTCCACTCATGGATCTGCTCAAAGTCGTAAAAGTACCACAAGTACATGACATCAGTGTAAGTCGCACTAATATCCACAAAAATAGCAATGCCAACCAGATACAACAAGTATGCTCTCATAACACACACTCTATGCTGGGCTACCATCTCGGGATCATCACCATCCTGTTGTGCATGCAGTACTCTTTCGTGAACACCATATGCAAATATCTAAATCTAACATGAGCACCACGGGTGAATCCCACCCCCTCTATAACACTCTCTGGGGTAACTCCTAAGTACTCTACCAACAACTCCAAAGCCTCCTCTTTGTCTATCCTCTCATGGTCTAAAAAACTCCGTCTTATTGGAAGTTGCAGCAGACATACGACATCGTCCAGTGTGATCGTCATCTCACTATATGGTAGATGAAACGATGATGTCTCATGATACCATCTCTCAACAAAAGCTTTAATCATACCATGATTAACGGTAGTATATCCATAGAGGGTCAAATATTTCAACCCTGAAAGTAGCAAGAGCTCCTGAAACCATGGCTCCCGAGAAGCTATCAGGCGAGTGATCTTCTGCGCATGATTAATTATCTTTAGCGGACCACGTTCCTGCATACACGGTTTAACAAAATTGATTCATCCAAACAAAACTTAATAATAAAATAAACACTATAAAAATTAATAGTTAAATGAAATATTTATCTCTCCATCCCATATATGTCTGGCAACATGGTCATGGTATAGAGGCAACAATGATAAATTGGAAGGCCCTGCTCCAAAATCCTAAGGTTCCTCTAATATGACCTCATCTGTCTGGGCCTCAGGTGCTGCCTATGACTGAGACTAGATGCAGGCTGTGGCTGGGACTGAGGCTGGGATGCATCAGACATCGATTGTATGGCCTTAGGTGTCGGTTGTGAGTGTGATGCATTTCCTTCCTTAAATACCATAGGTGAAGCAGTGCTTCTACGAGAAGATGGAGGCGAGGAGGGATAACCTAGAGAGCCTCGCCTGCTGCGGGATGAAGTAGGCGGAGAAACGTGAACACCGGAACATGTAGCCGCATCCGCCATAATCTGTCCAGAGGTACAAGAAGCCTGAGATGCCTGACTCATTTCCATCTAAACCAAAGCATGTTGTGCAAGCCTGCCATGTCTCAACCTAGATAGTCTTTCAGCCATAACTTCTATAGAAGTACGAAACAAACGTTACCAAAAAGACTTATGTCCAAAAAATGGGAAAAATGCATACAGACTAAAATCACATATGCATTTCCAGTTTTATATGTAACATTGAACAAAACCAGATATGTATCTCTTTTACGACCTGTAATTTTCTGCTTCGTCAATGGTGAAGCTCAGCCACTAAGACCTCAAAAAACAGTTATTGATCGTAAAAACAACCATACTAAAAAGTTTATTCCTACTTCTAAGCTTGCAAACACTCAAAATACTTGGATTATCTAACCTAAAACATAATTTCTAGGTGAAATTACATTAACTCAAAAAAGCTCAAAAATAACTTATGATTTCTGATTTTTGTTGGTTGATGAAGCTTGAACAATGATGTTTGTCTGTTGCTTGTTAATTTCTGATGAGATTTTCGCGCAACGGGATGATTTTCACACAATAGGAGTTTGAGAGGGTTTTGTGTTTGGATTTTGTATTTGAGTTGAATAAAAATTTCTGAAATGAGAAAGGGGAAAAGACAACGCACATATTTGTTTTAACAAGAACCAGAAATGCACTTACGGGCCCCTCCCGTAAGTGCATTTTCGGTTTACTTATGTGTGAAATCTGAGATTTCTTAGGTTAAATTATGGTCTGTAGTTGGGGTACTTCCGGAAATACAAGTACGGTTCACACCCGTAAATATACTTCCAGTTAGTTCTCTGCTCTTTTATAGGGTCTTGCCCATCAAAGACCTGACATAAGGTACTACCGAAAATGTATTTCCGATACCTGAGAACATTTATGTATTTTCGCGCAGTGCACTATAAAAGCATAAGGGTGTGTTAAGGAATCCCCTTTATATTATTATTAAATTTGGGTTTTGTATTTCTAAATTGAAAATTATACTTTATAGTAAAAATATAAACTTTTCATTTTTAAATAACTAAAATATGATTCTGTTAATTTTTTATTAAAAAAGTCATTTTTCTCATAAATTATTTTCAACATATTTTTGGTAAAAGAAAATTAGTGAACAAAGTTTTCAATTAAAGAAACAAGTTAGTTTAGGTTAAACGACTCCTGAGCATTAGTGAATGTCCAAATTGATCAAGAGTAACGAGTCAAACTCTAATTGTAACAATTATTAATTAATTCATATTTAATTTTCGGTTGAACTTTGAATTATTACATGTTAAGACAAAAAAAAATCAGTAATTATCTTTATATACCTCATATATATAATATACTCTACCTAACACGAAAGATCATTATCTTTTTCTTTTTGACTAAATAATTTCATTTTAGATTACAATGGATTCATTAGAGTTATTCCATAATCTTGATAGTATAATTTTTACAACCAAATATTAGACCATGTTTTTATTTTACTTACAAAAATAGAGATTCAGATAATTGTGTATATATCTATAGGTTCTTTGAATCAAACTAAGATTGTGAATTTCATCTTACAGCCAATGGAAGATTCAAATGAGGCACCTTCTTCTTGTTATAACCATGAAGATTCAAATGAAGATATCCAAAACAAGCATATGAACCAACAAGAACAAATCAACATTTCAAACACAAAGCGATTTATGATTTTAATGTGGGATAATGTTTGGTCTTGCATTGTTGTTCTTGTGCTATTTTGGCTCATTGGTTAGTAGTCTTTTCAACCATTTTTTCTCTCTATAATTAAATTATAATATGCAACCTCAATTGCAGTCGTAATCACATGACCTGTGTATTTGTATTTGTTTTCATTTTTCCGTAGAATCTATTACTCTTACTGTTGGTGTCCGGGGATCTAATTTACAATTAGGACCTTACTCGTCGCATTTGATACAAATTAATTCAATGTTAGTACAATCTATCAAGGTATTTAATTAAAATTTGAATATTTTTTATTGTATATTTCTACTCATTTATCAGTTTCATGTACTAATATTTTATGACTCATTAACAGGTGGAACAAAACAATAAGCCAAAACCTGGTATGATGCTTTATGGATTTGACTTTGTTCCTTCACTAGATGTCAAAATAAATTGGACTGAGATGTATGATGTATCCATATCACCAAAATCTCAAAAGGCATGTTCCATTTTTTTTTATAATGTTTTTTCATGTTTGTCTTTGTTTCCTATGTTCTTAAAATCTTATAAACATGATGTTTTATGCAATTCATATTGTTTTGTAGGAATGGATATTCTACCTGAATAAAGACTCTCAATTAGATGTTCTTTATAGTGCTAAGTCCCCAGTAGCACCTTTAATCTTAGTAATTGCTAAAGGTACATTTTTTTTTATTTTTTTTTATATTACAATTTATGATTCATTATTTCTACCTTATATATGTAATCTTCCATTATTTCTAATCTTTCACAAATACAGGTAGAGAAAGCATAGCTGAGTGGAAAGAGGATCCATTATCCCCTGATGCAACATTATATTGGAATAACATCTATGGTACAATTACTTGTAAAATAGTGGTCTTATGCTATATTTGTTTTGATGCAATTATTAATATTTGTTTTATTTTATTTACAGGAAGTGGTAATGTTACACAGAAAATATCAGATTCATCTACTTATTATGTGGCTATTGCCAATATGAACCATCAAAATGTTAAGGTGATGCATTAAAACAATCTTATAGTAGTTAGTGTCATATATATGATCGATTTAGAGATCGAAATGGTAAAATCGGTCACTAAATCGGTTGTTAACAATGACGACTAGTGATTTAGCGACATTTTGCAAATCGGCCGATAAAACTTTGCAATGTTACTACAATAATTAGGTACAACTGAAGTTCAATGTGAATGCACTTCTCTACAATACAACCAACTCTTATAAACGATGTTCTCTAGATAACAGTTCATGTAGAATGAACACTGCTCTTTCAGCAAACATGGCACTATTAACCACTGCATGTCCTAGAGAGGTATAATGACCAATTTACTTTTTTCTATAACTCTTTCTAATCCTCTTATTTATAATATAACTTGTAAGGACATCAAAGTAATTTCAATAACTAGTCTATCTTTCAGGGTGTAACTAATCAGGAATGGTTTGATGTGCATGTGTCTTATGAACCAAGATGGATCATATATCTTATAGGCACAGGTATCACAATTTCTTTTGAGTGATATATATTATAATTTTTTTTAAAAAGTTTGTAGCGTGTGACTAGGTCGACGCTAAATAGCATCTTTTAGCGTCAGCGTTGTTGGTTGACGCTAAAAATGGTGGCTAAAATGCATTTTTCAAGTAATGTTTATCATATAAAATATAATCAAATTTAGTGTTTGACATATTTGAAATGTACATTACTCAATGCAATAAACATAGGTGTGATGGCTGTGATAATCATATGTGCATTGGAATTTTACAAAATGTTGCAAACAAATGAAGAAAATGCAAGGTTTCAATTCCAACAAGTGGAAGTGATTTCGGAAAGAGCTCCATTACTGTCTCGAAAAGACAGTGATGTTACGAGTCGGAGTTCATCTTATGATTCTTTCTCAAGTGATGAAGAGAATTCTAGTGAAGGAAAGTCAATAATAGAAGGAGAAACTAGCAATAATGATATTAGGTGTTTGTGTGTTATATGCTTTGATGCAAGAAGGGATTGCTTTTTTCTACCTTGTGGCCATTTTGCAACATGCTATGCTTGTGGAACAAGGTAAAAGACACTTTTTTTTCTTCTTTCCTTTCTTTTATTTGAATTTGGCTTGATATAGATATCAATTAATGTATACTTGTAAAAATCAGTGATTGTTGATGATATGAAGATGGTAAATGTTGTTTATTTACATTTGTTAGTTTTTTTGGTTTTTTTTAAAACAATGCATAAATGAGAGTATTTCTTTTACATTTGTAATAAATGTAAAGATTTTTTGTACATTAACGTAGAGTTTAACTCCTATTATTTTTATGTGTAGAATTGCTGCAGAATCATGCACGTGTCCCATTTGCAGAAGAAAAATGAAGAAACTAAGAAAAATTTATATTGTGTAATTTAGATGAGTATCGTGGATGTAAATAAGCCTATATGAGAGTCTTTTTCTAGGTTCTCTATTTCAACTTTCTTATTTTGAAAATGGAAAGACATAGCATATAGAAAAAACAATTGATGTTGGGAGCGTTTTTCTTTGTATGCTCGACATCTTTTTTGGTGGAGATGGCCTCAAATAAATATTTACTTGTACATACATTTTTTAAGTGAAGGGATTGTATTAAAGTTAGTTGGTATATTTTTTTTAGCAACATGTTTTAGCAAGATGTCTCAAAATTTGAGACATTTTATTTCAGTTATCCGCCTTTTTAAAAAGATTTATTTTTTTATTAATTTAATTTTTGAGTTAATTTTAAAAAGATTTGATTTGTTTTAGATTAATTTTTGAGTTGTTTTGAAAACATTTGTGATCTTATCGGTGATCAGAATAAGTAATCGGCGACACATCTGCAGTTTGAGCGATCAATAGAGAGAAGGGAGAGAAAGGAGTGTACTTGTAGGCACTCTGATGCTTAAGTTAGTTCGGGTGAAGAGGTGTGCGAAAAAGGATTAGAGAATAGAATACATGACCCTCCTGTAGAGGAGGGTATTTATAGTGAGCCCCCAATGCTTGGCCAACGTTCTCTATTATGGACTGAGTGTTCAGGCCCACGACAAATGATTGTCAGGATTTCTATGTGAAAGTAGAGATGAGCAGCACGTGCTCATCGTCCTGGGTAAACTATTTCGCCGTTCCCGGGTAGTGGATAAACTTTCCCGTTACAAAGGGCATAATAGTTCATCCACTCGCGTGAGATTTGCGGGTTCAGTTGGTGATGTATTCTTGGGCGAGAATGTGTTTTCCACTGGCCCCAACGGATTGGGCCAGCATTTTGGTTCATCCTCGACATAGACATTGATTGGGATGTGTCGGACGCTGGGTCAACCACAGGCCGAGTCAAGAACATGAGCCCCCAAGTCGTTGTTCTTAGGAAGAGGAGAAATGACTTAGAGCCAGTTCATGCATTGAAAGACTCCGTGTGACGTGAGACTTCACTTGATCCCGCGATTGCGAGCTCGCGTTGTCGTGGAAGGTGCTCGTTGTGGACGTTTCCCATTCGTGCATATGTGCATGCGGGGACGATATTCTTCTAGTAACTTGTTGGATTTTGCTAACGGGAAAAACGCGTTTCGCAGGGGTCGCGATCGAGAGTTTAGCTTGTGCTCGCGCTGAGCATGTGGCTTGCTTGCGAGTTTTCACGTTGCACGTAGATTCTCTTCAAGTTTTTCCCTGAGGCCATACCCATGGGGAATGCGAAAGTTCCTCTTTTGTGTTCGAAAAGCGGTGCTCGATGTCTTAGAATTTGGAAGGTTGATGGGACTTGAAGGGAAAAACAATTCGTCCCCTCGAACCACGCGTTACAGCTATTGAATATGCAATGATAAGGGTAATTATGAGTTGAAACGACGATATGTTTCCCTAAGCAGTGACACGTTGTCCATGTAGTGAAGAGATTTTATAAATAGGAAGAATGAAGGGGCATTTGCAAAGTTCCCTCTATTCTTACTTTTACTTTCCTCTGCATCATAGAGCTTTACCACCACTATTGTTGTTGTAAAACCGCCACCAACTTCTATTTTTCTTCAAATCACGCAAGTTTTCTTATGATTTTACCTTTTTTTACCGTTTGTTTTTTGCTTTTCCACCGTGTTATTCAGTTCAGCGTAGCCGTTATGACGATGAATAAAACTTACGTTGGTGAAACTCATGAGTTTTATGATGAAACTCGTGTTGGAGAGGCTGTTCCCCACGAAATTCATGAGTTTTATGATGAAACGCATGTGTCGATGAGGTTGTTCCTAGCAAAATTCATGAGTTCATGATGAAACTCGTGTCAGGGAGGCCGTTCTCTACGAGATTCATGAGTTTTATGACAAAACTCATGTGTCGAGGAGGCTGTTCCTCACGAAATTCAAGAGTTTCATGATGAAACCCATGTTAGGGAGGCAATTCTCCGCGAGATTCATGAGTGTTATGATGAAACTCATGTGTCGAGGAGGTTGTTCCTCGCGAAATCCATAAGTTTTATAACGAAACTCATGTGTCGAGGAGCAGGTCCTCGTGATTCCCTTGCTTGTCGTTGAATTAGGGCTTTGGTTGAGGGAATTTTCCTCGTGCCTTTCCTTGCCCTTTCACTTGATTTGTAGTGGAATGGTGGATTTGATTTGATTGTCCAATTCATTGTCGTCCTCTTCTTTTCAAGTTTAATGGCTCATATGATCAAAGGCGCCTGGTCGACACCATTAGTGATCCTGCATTAGATTGGGTCGGGCTGAAACCTCGAGGAATAGTCTCACATTTTACAGACTCTCTAGAGACTGCTTTTACGATTGTTGAAGAAGTTACAAGTTATTTGGGGGCTTCGAAAAACTGGGAGGTTTATAAGACCGAGCGGGATGAGCGAATCTGCTCGTGTTTCTTGGAGAATCGTTTCTCCATGTACGAGGATGCCTTCAAAGAGCTGAGGCTTCAATTGTCGTTCATCGGTCTCCAAACAGACATCTTTGATTGGTTGGTGTTATCTCCTTCTCAGCTGCATCCGAACTTGATTACCTTTATTCGGGCCTTCCAGATCATGTGTCAATATCTCGAGATTGGTGCCACCATTCCCCTATTCTTCAGCTTCTTCCACCTTCATCGACAAACTTGGAATGGGAGGCATAGTTGGGTGTCGCTTAAGCAGCCGAAGAAGTTGTTTAAAATATTCACGAACTCTATTCTCACCTCTAAGGACATGTATTATACGATTAAAATTGTGAGTCGAGCGATCATCAATTCCATGTTTGAGCGGGTGATTGAAATCAAGGAAGATGAGAGTGTTCTCCTTGATGAGGATGAAGACGAGGTGAAGAGGATGGTCTCGAGGTTCTATATTTGTTGGAGTAATGACCATTTCGAGCATATTACATATCATTATATCACCAAGTCTAACGAGTTAGACTCCAAGGACCAACGTGGCTATAACAAGCTTGTGAAGTTTGTCGATAATTTCGCTCCTGCTAGGTGGGAGACTAGAAACTGGGAGGTTGTCCTCGACGAGTAGGGCGAACCCACTTACGAGGCCTGATACATCAACACTAAAGAGCTCCTCGAGTACGCTACTGTCGAGGATGCTTTATCGCTTTTAGGTAGATATTTTTCTTTTAACATATTTGTATGCTTTTTCTTCCTCAGTACACTAACATGTGCCAGTTATTTTCCGCGTATAAAATGACATACCTTCAAGATCGTGTGATCAAGATGACATTGAATATAGGGAAAGCTGGAAAGGGCCAAAATAAAAGCTCTAAGAGTTGCTTTGTTCCAATCCTGAATTAGTCCTAGGGTGACTCTGGTACTTCCTCTTCACCAGTGGGCAACCAGTCCCCTCCTTGGCAGGACACCCCGAGTAGGAAAAGGCATCGTGTCGAGGATGTCATGGATGTCGACCTTACAGGGGATGTCAACAAGGATAAGTTTGTGCTACCTCTTTGTTATCTCAACAGGGGTTGTTTGTGGAGGCGAATTCTCCTATTGTGCCTCGGGAAGAGTCCTCGGCCATCCCAGGCCTCGACGCGGCGATCAGGAAAAACACATTGGCTCAAGACGCAACCCCTCTGATAAGGGTTATGGAAACGGATTTGGTCCTCAATGACGAGGAGACCTGCTTCATTGGCGAGTTAGAAAAGCCGTGGATAAAAAATGAGACACTTGAAGCGAAGTTACTCAAGCTGGGAGCCACTTTCGATGACTATAAGGAAAAGTATCAGATCCAGAGTGATATTGTCATTGATCTGCGTGAGAAGAAGAAGTAAGTGACCGAGTTGACCAAGGAGATGACTGCTCTGACACTCGAGCGTGCTTCTGAGAAGAAGAGCTTTGAGGATTGGATTTCTGCCTTGGAGGTTGCTGCAGCGCCTGCCAAGGATGAGGATGCCGAGCTGAAATCCCTACTGACCCGTGTCGAGATGGTTTCGTGAATCAGGAGCCTCGAGGAGGATTGTGTTGAAGCTATCGAGATGAGGTTTGAAAACATAGTAGATCAAATCCAAATTGTGAACCCTGGCATTGAGCCCGTCACTGAGGGGATCGGGTTCCTGCATAAGGTGGTCCACAGTCAGATAGTCACTCCCCCTGAGTTTTTCTTTGACGAAGATGAAGAAGACGTGGAAGAGTCCCACAACGAGGAGGAGCATAGTTATGGGGAGTCCAATCATGAGGACTGACCAAGTTTAACTAAGTTTTTTCATTTGTATTTGTTCGGGCCTGAACGCCTCTATTTTGTAATATTTAGATAATGGGCTCTGCCCGACTTTGTTGTGAAAATATGGCATCTTTGACCTTCGTGGTTGTTATTTTCGTTGCACTTTATTTTTTGGTATGCTCGTTTTTAAGATTTACTCATTTGTATGTTCTTTTGCAAATTATTCTTGCTAAGTATCAGCGGGGGAGGGGTTTTTCTTCGATAGTGTTATTTCTCAATAGTGTAGGGAACTCATCGAGTGATCAGAGATCGGTTCTGGACTAATAGCGATAGATAAGGTCTCGGTTGAGATCTTAGATCTGTGGCGTGAATCTCCCATCGTGAGATGTGTGTTCTGCCTTAATGGTACGATAACGATGGAGCTCGGTTGAGTTTTCCCTGTTGGGTCAAGAGTCTGCTCGTCAAAGAGTGGAAACTTTCCTTTTTGTTATAGTTTTGGGACGCTGTGCTTGTACCCGAGCACGCCTCCATGGTCGGGACGTACAATGTCATCATTGAATGGGTTGCACAGACTGTCAGGCCTAACTGTAATATTGTTTCAATTTCTCGTTGTTCCATGTTCGAGTAAGTTCTTCCTTGCACAGGTTCTCGAGGTAGTAGGCTTCGTTTTTAATTTTTGCTCGGACGCGATAGGGGCCTTCCTAGTTCGCTGCGAGTTTGCCTTCGCAAGGATCTTTATGGTTTCTTCTCAATACTAAGCTTCTAGTTTCGAGTTCTCG